AGAGTAGTGAGATTAAATAGATAGAATATGTTGGTTATAGCACTACTGACGAGGAAGGGGGAGAGGTGGGGACGTGTGCGGGAAATATAGCGAGATAGATAGAATAAGAATAGATAGATAGAGGAGATAGTATAGAAGATAGGATAGATAGATAGGATAGATGATAGAATAGTTAGTTATACACTAGCTGACGAGGAAGGGGGAGAGGCTGGGGACGTGTGCGGGAAATATAGCGAGATAGATAGATAGATAGATATATAGATAGTTAGTTAGTTAGATAGATAGATAGATAGATAGATAGATAGATAATATGATATATAGATAGATAAGAGAAGATAGATAATATAGATCGATAGATAGATTAGATATGAAGATAGTATAGTATAGATAGATAGATAGATAGATAGATAGATAGATAGATAGAAGATAGATAGATAGATAGATAGATAGATAGATTAGATAGATAAGATAGATAGATAGATAGTATTAGATAGATAGATAGTTAGATAGATAGACTAGATAGATAGAAGAAGATAGATAAGATAATAGATAATAGATTTAGATAGATAAGATATGATCCGATAGATTTAGATAGATAGATAGATAGATTAGTTAGTTAGATTTATACACTAGCTGACGAAGAAGGAGAGAACTGGGGGGACGTGTGCGGGAAATATAGCGAGATAGATAGATAGATAGATAGATAGCTAGATAGATAAGTTATTAGTTAGTATAAGTATATGATATAGTATAATATATAGTATAAGATAATAGATCGTATAGATATATAATATAGATAGAGAGTAGATGAGATAATTAGTAGATAGATACGATATAGTATATATAGATAGGTAGATAGATAGATAGATAGATAGATAGATATGATAGATAGATAGATTAGATAGATAGATAGGATAAATAGATAGATAAAGATAGATCGATAGATAGATAGATAATAGATAGTTAAGAGAGAGAAAGAGAGAAGCAGGGGGGAAGAGAGAGATCGCGCGCAGAGAGAACTACAGAGAAAACAAGGGAAGTAGAGAAGAGAGTGAGAGACTAGAGAGAGAGAGAGCGAGAGAGAGAGAAAGAGGAGAGAGAAAGAGAGATCCGGAGAGAGAGAGAGAGCCGAGAGAACCTCACAGAGAGAAAAGAGAGGAGGCGATGAGAGATCTAAACAGAAAAGCAGAAGGGAGGTAGAGAGAGAGAGTGAGAGAATGAGAGAAGAGAGAGAAGAGAGAGAGAGAGAGAGAGAGAGAGAGAGAGAGAGAGACAGAGAGAGAGAGAGAGAGAACACAGAGCGAGCGTGGAATCCTGCGGAAAATCGCCCGATCACAAGCGCTGCGTCGCGACGGCCTCACTCTATATGTGCACGGTATGTAGATAGATAAGATAGATAGATAGATAGATAGATAGAATAGGTTAGTTAGTTATACACTAAGCTGACGAAGAAGGCCGGAGAAGCGGGGACGTGGGCGGGAAATATAGCGAGATAATAGATAGATAGATCGATTGGCTAGATAGAATAGTTAGTTAGTTAGATTATATTATATATATATAATATATATATAGGATAATAATATATAGATATATATATAGATGATAGTAGATAGATAATGTAGATGATAGATAGATATATATAATATAGATAATAGATGAGATAGATAGATAGATAGATAGATAGATATGATAGATAGATAGATAGATACGATAGAGTAGATACTAGATAGATAGATAGATAGATAGATAGTTAGATGAGAGAGAAAGAGAAGAGAGGGGTGGAAGAGAAGGAGATCGCGCGCGGAGAACTACAAGAAACAAGGGGAGGGTAGAGAGAGAGTGAGCGAACTAGAGAGAGAAGAGAGCGAGAAGAGAGAGAAAGAGAGAGAGAGAAAGAGAGAGAGAGAGAGAGAGCGAGAGAAACACTCAGCAGAGAGAAAGAGAGAGCGCGAGAGAGATCTACAGAAAAGCAGAGGGAGGTAGAGAGAGAGTGAGAGAATGAGAGAGAGAGAGAGAGAGAGAGAGAGAGAGAGAGAGAGAGAGAGAGGAGAGAGAGAGAGAGAGAGAAAGAGAGAGAGAGCGAGAGAGAGAGAGAGAGAGAGAAGAGAGAGAAGAGAAACACGAGGCGAGCGTGGATCCTGCGGAAAATCGCCGATCACAAGCCTGCGTCGCGACGGCTCACTCTATATGTGCACGGTATGTACGCCCCTGTGGTGATTCCCAGCAGGAAGGAAAGACTGAAAAAGTCGTGAGTTCGTGAATGTAATTGTGGAGGAAGACAGAGACAGTTAATTAGAACATCCGATGTAGCGCACCATGACGATCGTTGATCGCCCACTGTGATCTCGAACGTCTGAAAGATTTTGATCGTCGAGTAAAAAGATTTTTGTCGGAATTCTGAAGATTTTTCTCGACTAGCTGAGGATGTTTGTGGACGATTATCAAAGTACATTTTCCTTCGTGCGATTATAGAGCATATCGTCATCGTTTATATCTGCCAGATGGTTTCGTATTAATTTATTTGCTGTTATGATTATTTTAAGCATCAACCGATGTGGAGCCCGTGAGGATTCTGCTTTTCATTAAAAATAAATTAATAATAGCATAATAAGATGATATATATATATATGTATATGCCCATGCACACATAAATACGCGCGCACGCATGCACGCACACATACATAGATGAATATACATGCTCAAATATCATAAAAAGCCTGCGTAAACTAAAAACCTCTCAAACGCTTGCATCGTTTAAAGCACGTTACGTAATAATGCAGGACGTCAATATGTCGGTGGATATACACGGACACCCGCGGCCACGGCTGTATATGAATAATTATAGTGTTGAAAAGTGTCTAAATAAGTACTGTGATTCATCGGAGAATGACTCAATTAAATACTAATGTAAGAGGTTCTCTCTCTCTTTCTCTCTCGCGCGCTCTCTTCTCTCTCTCTCTCTCTCTTCTCTCTCTCTCCTCTCTCTCTTCTCTCTCTCTCTCTCTCTCCCTATCCCAGTCTTTCTCTCCCCATTCTTGTTTACTTTTTACATAGTCTACGTCCTATAAAAAATGAACGGCAGAGAATTGCTGAAGCGACATGTGTTTAGCCCGCATACTGCACATGAACGCAGCCACGAAAGCCGACCTAGTCTGGCTCTACTGTATACAATTACCTTCCTCCTTCACGTGAGCGGAAGCGAGACCTTCCGTGCCAGAGCGACTTCATCATCGTGCTAATAAGTTATCACGCGATTCGCTTTCTCTGTTCTCCCTCTCTCTTCTCTTCTCTCCTCTCTCTCCTTTTCTCTCTCTTCACTTCTCGATGTCCTTAGCTCCTTTCTGCTCTCTCACCTCTCTAACGCGCTTTAGTTATCTCTCGTCTCTCTCTCGTCTCTCTCCTCGTCTTTCTCGTGCCTGTCCCTGTATCTGTCCCTGCTCGCTCTCTTCTCGGTGTCGAAAGCCAGTATTAAGAATTCTCACTGCTGCTGGTGTTTGAGGAAAACGCTTATCGCTTCACTCAACAACTGTTAGAAATGGTGTTACTGTGTCGGGAAAAATAAAAGGTGCTACGGAAATGAAAGCACTACATGTTGCGCAGTTGCACAGAAGCAAGACAAAAAAATCATGGAACTGGCAAAAATATTTGTTGTCAGATCTTGGTATATATAAATCTGGAGTTTTCAAGCCAACTCAAACTTGCTTATTCGGAGCATAAGATGAGTCCATAAGTAAGTATATTATTAGTCACCAATGTCCGATTAACGCGAAACTCGGCCGAATTATATAATGCCAATTTTATTGTAAATATTGGTTTGACGTAGCTGGAAATATCTCTGTGCCCTCTCTCACGGGGCCAGTGGTGGCGTTCCACTGCGTTTAAGTTATGCTGCTGCCGCTTAAAATCTTGTCGATAGCGGTTTGCAAACAATGTATTCTTATTTACATTTCTTTTTTTTGTTTCACAACACATCACACGATGTATGTTTGATGATAGAATTTCATCGTCGCTTTTTTTTGCTATTTTGTTTGGTTTATATTGTACATTGTGTAGTTGTTCGTTTTATTAGTTGTTTTTGCTGTGCTTTAATTATTTTTTGTATGTTTATTTTAAGTAATTCCTATATTTTTTCTTTCTATACTTTATTTTTTTTCTACTTTTCTGTAGGAGATCTATTCTGAATGCATTATCTTATCGAACTGCGTAAATAGTGTGTACCATGATCATTCATTGCGCTCGCTGACTTCCTTCAAGGGCGATCGTCTCGATGGGTTTAATAAAGCTGGTATAGAATTAAATGGAAGGGGAGCGAAATGGGATGCAGAACCCAGTAGCAAGGAAGAGAGAGCGAGGAGATAAGAGAGAGAGAGAGAGAGAGAGAGAGAGAGAGAGAGAGAGAGAGAGAGAGAGAGAGAGAGAGAGAGAGAGGGGATGAGGGAGAGAGAGATACAGATTGAAATGGAAAGAAGAAGATACAGACAGAAAGAGAGAGAGAGAGAGAGAGAGAGAGAGAGAGAGAGAGAACACGAGAGAGAACGAGAGAGAGAAAGAGAAGAGAGAGAGAGAGAGAGAGAAGAGTGAGAAAATTAGTAGAGTTGGACCATAAACCATTGTTCACAGGCGCACGTCTCCCGTTGTCATCGAAAACTATCAACCAATCTGACCAATAACAAATCAATAATCAATAATTTTAATATTAACTGGGAATCGCAAACACATGTTCATTCTTTAATCAATCAATACCTAATCATTAACCAATAACTTCTCGTAGAGAGCATGATACAAAACACTCCTCGCAAATAATTCCTTCATTCACATAATCGATACTTAATCCATAATGCCTCGTTATCTATTAAATGTATAATCGATACCTTTTTATTACTCATCCCGCGCCTAATCGATACCCGGTCAATACGTAACCAATTTCTAATCGGAACCTAATCAATACTCAATCAATACGCAATCAATGCCTAATCGATAATTAATCGCTCTCGTTGCAGTTGAGACAGGCAAGCCGATGGTGATCCGCACGTGCGGCGTGGACAGCGGCACGCTGACCATTGACACGGAGATCGTGCGCATGAGTCACTGCGGCCGCTTCATGTACAACGGCGACAAAGTCTCTGGCTGCCTCACCAGCTGCGACAACGTGGACGGCTGTAACGCGGCGACGACAACGGCGACGACGACGACGTTGGCGATGGCAATCGCCGTCGCGCTCGCGTGCATGCAGCACCGCGCGTGGCCGATCTTCATGTGACACGATGACGTCATCGGTCGGTGGCGAACCCTTCCCTTAAAGCTGCGCAGTAATAATAGCATCGGGGCGAGGAGAGATTAGAGAGCGGAGAAAGAATGGGAAGCCCGACAAACTCTCGCATTACCCGCCTGCTTGAATTAGCAAGGTGAATCCGGCAGGTGAAAATAAGCCGCAGATGCGGCCATCAAAAGACAGTCGATTAACGATTGCCGTGATTGGAGGGCGGAAACCCCGTAACCTGATTCGTCATAGTGCCGCGGCCTCTTTGATGTTTCTATTAGAGGTTGAACTGCCTGATGACCTATTTCGTGCTGATGAATCGAAGGGCGGAAATACATCGACTGCTTTGATGTTTATGCGAGAGGGATTGTTTACGCTCGGCAACCTCTGCTGATTTGACACGCGGGACTGACACGTGGCAACCCCAGCTGTTACTGGACCAGGGTGCTGACAACTGGTGACAACGGCCGCACACGGCAGCAGTGACAATTAAAGAAAAGAGACTTGCGTCGACTCGCGTCGCGTTCTTGAGTCCGGGCAGGTTACACGGGAGAGGAAATCACACGTTACACATGTGACTGCCACCCGCGTGGAATGGCCCAACGTTGCCAGCCTCGTGGTCTGCGTCAGACAGATACACAACACACACACACACACACACATACACACACACACACACACACACACACACACACACACACACACACACGCACG